TAGAGAAGATCGTTAATCATGTTACAATCTTGTTTATAATTTCTCCGTTAGAGAATAGTTTATTAGAAGTTTTACTAAAATATTACGTTTTGGAAGGGAGATGAAATTGCTTATATTTACATTGCATTCATTGAAGACTTAGCTCAAGAACAAATTTTATTTTTACTGTCAGTATAAGAGAAATTTAGCTACAGGTTGACCATTTAAGCGTGCTTTTTATATTTGTTCTAAATTTTATTTAACAAAAGGCTTTGGGACGTCTATTTTATTACCGAATTTGATGCTATTATTATATATGAATATAAAGATGCCTTAATACTAGAAGAAAGAATAGTTAGAATACTTTTTTAGAGATGAATTTTAGTAGTCTACTCACGTGGAATCCAATGAGCATATTTCACACTACATATTCACAAATGGTTGCTTATTTTCTAAGCCTTTTCGATTTGAATGATATCAGGGTCCTTAACTATCGAACAAAACATCCGAATAGCTATGCAAGCTGATTCTTTTATTTCTGATTGCATATCTATCGAATAACGTCTCTATAATGAGTAGAAAACGCTTCACTAACGATACTTTTCCCTACAAGCACGCTCAAAAGCAAAGATTTTCTTATATAGAATCATTGTCACTTGAGCAAAATCCTGATGAAATATATTATATTGATCAAAAGCTTCTACATTAATTCCTCCGCTTTATCAATCAACTCTATCTGAGTAGCCATCTCATTCTCTTCGATTTCAATAATCTAAGATCATATTAATGATCAACTCGAAAATCTGCTTCACTTTAGGAAATGTCGTACCTTCATTTCATACCTCGTTCGAAAGTTTGCTATTCTTATGCTTTCAGTCGTAAATTCATCTCGATGAATTCTATAATTCATTCGATGTTACATGAAATGTTTTTTTTCTTACATATGTAATCATCTCAACAGGTAGATGAGTTATTTTAAATGATTTCATAAAATATTTCTAACTTATCATTTATACTTTTCAATACTACATTTTCTCTATGTATTCAGGTGTTTATTTAATTTCATGAATACAACACTTTCCTAATTTTTCTTTTTCTATCATAACATGGCTCTGGAATTCGGTGAGTTCTAATCAACTAATTAAATTAAAACATTTTTTCACTTTTACTTTTTAGACTCGTTTTAGATAGCCATATATACCGTAAGTTTATTCCAAATATTAAATTAAAATACAATTTCATCTTAATTCATCGATTTGTTTCGAAAATCGAAAAAAAGTGTGAATTAATTCAATTTATTAAATAAAAATACAATATTTAACTTTTGTTTGGAGATTCGATCCGTATTTATTAATATATCCGGTGAGTTTATTCCAATTACTAAATGAAAA